GTCAACATCAGCATCATCAATACACATTGTCAGAGGGTGGAAAACACCCCTCAGCCAATGTGCCGCGATAAAAAAGTAATATAAGTAACACTACAAAAATACTAAAAACATCACGCAATATAATGTTAAATATCCTATCAGTAATTTGTTATAAGATGGTGATTGGAGAGGGAGTCTAATGGAGAGGGGATGAACAAAGAAACTCACAGCACAGACGCCATTGAGGCTGGCTCCTAGCCAATGTCAGCGAGTGTGTCCAACCAAACTTGTTCATCGCCCTTTGGACTCCAGCCAGGCAGTCGGGATGAACCAACCGACGCCAACTTTGAAGCGAGGGTTTTCATTTCCCTCGACCAAGTCATCGCTTGGCCTCCCCTCCTCTTCCAACCGCACCCACAACGCGCAAACAATGCAAGTCGCAGGAGTCGGTGTGCTGACATGCGCAACACTTGGTCCAGCCATCGGAGCCCGGTGGGTGATATAATGGTGCTCGGCGGTTCACTCGCTCTTCCTGCACCAAATACGCGACGCCGAACACGCTCATTGCTCACGCGGTGCTCCCACCAGACATGAGCTAAGCTGCGAAGGTGGCGATGGTCGAATGCGACCAACCTCTTTATGTTTGTCGATCTGATGAACCAGGTTTGACAACCGCACAGGAGGGTTTAACGGACGGCTGCATTGTAAACTCTGCCCTTCACAGATAGAGTGATGTCGCGTCTGTGCGACAGGTGGCAGAGATTAACAAAACCACCTTAAGCTTTTGCTATACAGTTCGTGACCTGATCTACAATCCCACGAGCGCTGCCCAGATACTTGAATTCCTGTACGACTTCTAGCTGATCGCCACCGAGAATCAACGCACGGGTAGATTCCTGCCAATTTTGGAGGACTTTGCATTTCGATGGAGCAAAGCATAGCCCAAAACGATTGACAGCCAGTGCTAATCTGTCCAGTGCTGCTTGGCACGTTTGGGAGCTGTCACAGATTAGGGCAACATCGTCCGCGTACTCCAAGTCAAGAAGTCGCTCACCAGGAAGCAGCTCCACATCTTGTAAGTCGTGTTCAGCAAACGTTGTTTCCATGACTTTGTTAATGGCAATTAATAAATAATAAAAGACAAACGGCACAGCGGACTCCGATTTCCGACGAACCCCATTCGAAAAAAACGCTCACTCACTGTTACTCGGCGCGATACTACCCAACAAGCTTCTATTCACCCATTATTTTCGACAGCGAAGGATCCTTTTCTTCAACATTCTAAAGAGGAGTTCTGTAGCGCCCCAAAAGATGGCAACTACCCACTATGTACAATTTCAATGCTGAGCAATCGTATATTATTCTTTCTTGTTTCAATCGCCCTTATGGCCATGTTGACCTACATCCAACTCGACACATGTCTGCTCTGTGAATTACTATGCTGTCGCTTTCTCCGGTCTCGCTTCATCGGTCCACGTCTACTTTTAGCCCGTCGAATATAGTCCGCTGTGTCAGATTTCATTTGCCTTCTGATTTCCGCGCTCGATTACGTACACGGTCTTGGGCTAGTAACTACTAGTCCTATATAGTCGTGATGATCGAGCACTCCACGTGCTGGATCGATGTCGCAGCAATTCCGGATTAACGGGCTGGCTCGAGAACATACGCGATGATGAAACACGTGACAGCGGATCACGGAATTCCGAAGGCCATACTGACAGAACAAAGCCCGTACTTCGAAAATGACGAGTTTCGGACGTCTGAAGAAACTAAGCATCAGGAAAATAGGAACCCCTTCCTAGCATCTCTAGACAGATGGACTGGCGGTGGTGAAAGATTGAGAAAAGGTCTTAGCTCTACTCTAGATGGCTCACCGCGCGTCCAAGCACAAAGAGACTCCATTCCAGTTAAGGTACACTGCGAACTTCGACCTCTTGTGGATCTAGAGGTTGGACTGTGACCGACCTGAAAGTTGCCGTCAAGAAGCACGGAACAACAGGAAGATCGTAAACCGAAATTTGAGGGCAACCCAGGTCCAGATGACAAAAAACCCTGAGCTAACACCATGACAATGAAGGTAGACTTTTTAATCGGTTCGAAGGTGAAATACAGAGATCACCAATATGCAGCCGCATGTGACCGTATGACGTAATCGGTTGATGAGGGCCCGTATATACCACTGTTCGACAGAAGATAGGCGGCGAGTTCACGCCAACAAACTGATGAGGTGGTGCGAGCGTCGAAGGTCGATGCAGCGGAAACTTTGGAAGTGCCTGTCGTGCTCTACCAATGAGCAGCATGGAAAGAACCAAGTAGCCATAAAATCAGAGAAATCATGGATAACTGCGGACTAAGCGCGTTATGCACAGATCAACCACCACCACCACCATCATCATCAATACACGCTAGCCGAAGGTGAGGAACACCCCAGAGCTAATGTGTCGCAATACAAAAAGGTAAGACATTAAGCAATGTAGACTTGAAAGCTATAAAGAGTAACGTAATGCTAATGCCACATTTGTGATCGTTGTTGGAAGGGAAAGCTAAAGGGAAGGGGAGGGATAAAGAGACACAATACAAACACCATAGATTGCTGGTTGGAAACAGCAAGAACAGATATCTCTATGTAGCTGCATCTAATATCTTTTAAACAAATCTACCTATTGTGATGGTGATTATATCCGAGATCTCAAGTCAGAAAGGTGCGAGTCCAAGAGTTTCTTAAAATCCGGCACCGATTTTGTTTCGGCTATATCTGCAGACAGGTTGTTCCAAATACGCAACACTGTGCGCTTGAAGCAGAGTTGGTGAGCGACCCACTTCAAATCCGGTACGACAAGTTGTACCGGTGTCCTCGTGTGCTGCTTCGTGTGCGCAGATGAAGCAGCGGCCTCAACATGGGGTATTCATCGAGATGTAATATCGGGTGCGTCATGATGAGGTCAACGCGCCGTTGACGATAAGCCAGGGTGTACAGCCCTAGTTTATTACACTGGTTTTCGTACGGCACACCTCGTAAATTGGGAATCAGCCTGGTGGCCACATGCTGCACTCGCTCAATCTTTTATACTTCGCCCCGGGTGAGAGGACAATACGCGGGAGAGCCATACTCTAGCATTGGTCTTATTACTGAGACGAAGAGGCGAGTGCAATCTCTTCGGACCAAGTGCTGAAGCGGCGCCTGAGCGCCCAAAGCATACGAAGGCTGTTTTGGTAAAGCCTAGTCGTGTTGTCCATGGATTTTAGGTCGTAGCGTGAGGTTACACCGAGGTCTCGCACGAAAGGCGCGGGATGCAACGGTTGACCGGCCACAGTGTAGGTTCGATTGTGCTCACACTTACCCAGCCTCATGAATTGCGACTTGACCGGGTTGATCGGAAGGTTGACCTATGCAGACCACATGGAGAGGCGGTCGAGGTCCTGCTGAAGCAAATCACAGTCACTGGGTGTGCGGATTACTCTCCACACATTCAAGTCATCCGCAAACAATGCACAAGGTGAACGGAGTATCTGAAGCACGTCGTTTACATGGATCAGGAACAAAATGGGTCCCAGTACAGTGCCTTGGGGCACGCCACTGCTCAAATGATTGTCGACCTGGAACCCCACTTGCGACCAACAAGGAAACTCCTGATCCATCGGTGTAGCGAGCCGCCAACACCGCACACCCTCACCCTGTCGAGGAGCACTGCATGATTCACCTTGTCAAAAGCCTTACTGAAGTCAATGTAAATGACGTCGATCGACTTGCCTTGGTTCAGCGCCTGCAACCATTCGTGCCTCGTTTACAATGGGTTGGTGATGCACGATCGACCTCTCACGAAACCATGCTGTGCGAGCGTCAAGACCTTTCGACTCGAGAACCTGCAGATGACCCTTCTTCACGATCTTTTCAAGCGTCTTTGCCAAAGCAGCGGTCAGGCAGATCGGCCGAAAGTTATCCACTTTGCTTGAATCACCACCTTTCGGTATTGGCTTTACGACTAGTATTTTCAGTCGCTTGATAATAAACCAGTGGATAGTATCCTGTTGAACAGCTCAGTTACAGAACGCGAGATGAAGGCCGATAGGGACTTGACGATCAGTGGGTGGATTCCATCTGATCCGGCAGGTTTCGTCCCGTCAAGACCTGCTAGCAACTTGAGTACATCTTCAATGCTACAATCCAGGCTGTCAAGTTCAGCGGGGGCGGTACCTGTCGAACTCGGTACAGACACCTGGTGATTTGCAAATACGGAAGCAAAGTGCGCCGCCAATGCGGACGTATGATCTGTGCTCGAAGTCAAGGAAGGTCCATCTAAGCCTTTCAACACTGGCACATTGCCTGCAGGCCTCAGGCACTGCTTCAAGTAGGCGAAGATCCTATTGGGAGCAGTTTTTGTGGCGGCTGCAAGTTGTTGCGTGCCTGGGTCTGCCAGCCGCGTCAAGAGAAAGAAAACACACCGACTCAAAAGTCGACTCTTCGCCATGTCGGCTAATGTATACAACCAAAGGTGTTCACCATCATTCGGTCCCCAGCCAGGCAGTCGGGAAACACCAACCGATGCCAAATTAGAAGTGAAGGACTTCATCCCTCTTGACCAAGTCATCGCTTGGTCGCTCTTCCTTCTCTTCCATCCACACCCCTGGCGCGCAAACGTACGTCGAGGGAATCGGTGGGCTGGCATGCGTAACATGTGGCTCTGCCATCGGAGCCTGGCGCGTGATATAACGGTGCTGTGCGGTTCACTCATCTATCAACCACAACCGTTATGTTGTGCGGAGAGGAGTGCAGCGCAACGGGACGGAGAGTCAGAACGGCACCGCGAATGAAATGCGCAAACAGACCCGACTGTTCTATGTTCAAGCTGTTATGCCATCTGTACGTGTGTTTTGTGGTGTACAAGTCGTCTGCATTGCGTTCTTAACAAGAGCACTAAAAAAGTTGTGAAATGTATGGCATGAATGAAAGTGTCCGGGTTTAAAAAGTAGGGTTTTGCGTAGGGCGAAAGGGACTTCGACATATGGATAAGTATACTTACGTTCAACATGCGTCGTGAGGCATCACTGTCACCAACAGCAAGTACATTAATCCCTGCTACACCAACGGCGTCCTTAAGTGAACGAAACGGTGCGCGGACCTGAACCATGGACGTTGCGTACTCAGGGAATGCACGAGCCACGGCTTGCGCTCCATCCTCGTTTGTGTGGTTGGAAATCCCCACGATTATCTCTTGCCCTAAAATAGGGAAAAGAGAACAGCAACCGGTTCACTGATAGCGTAAAAGTGAAAAAGCAAGATTGACGTGCTAACACTGTGGTTGATGATAAAGGTATTAAGCCCTAGATGATTAGTTGCCTTTCAAGTTGTCAGTCAGAGTTGCAAACGTTTTGCCGTCCCAGCTGACACCATAGGCCAAGAATCAAAAAGAAAGGGAGATATATCCGGTAAAGAGCATACAACCATGCAGTGCATAGCGGTGTCCACAATTAGAACACTGGCTTCTGATTCTGTAGCACCAGAAGCACAGTATAAATAGGCAGTAGATGATGGCTGCGTTGTTAGCCGTGTCATCAAGAGAAGATTTTGGTATACAGCTGCTAAGATGCATCGAATGCTAATACCCAGAATCGAGTGCAAGTGCAAATGGTAACCACCGTCATAACCGATAGCATAGTTAATGGTGTTGAAGAGATATACGTGGCTGGTGCCATCCGTTCCCGGATTTGCCAACCACTGCGACCGCGAAATGTCAGTGCCTACTGAATGACTATGGGTGGCTTGCGCTGCACCACACCCAGTTCCATCCACATATCGCATATACGGTGTAAACCAAAAGGAAAAAGTCCATGAGGCAAGTGGATGGGAGCCACGACCTATTCAGAGCCGGCTCACATTCTTTAAACATGCACATCATTAATTGAACGAGAAGAAACGTAAATACTAGACGTACGCATGACGATGCCTGGGCGGTAGCCCATTCTATATCACATGGAGCCATTCCAAGAGCTTAGCACCGTCACAAAGAATGCGCACCCTATCTTTCCCAGCAACGACCATGTGTCTGGAAACTGCATGATCGAGGTGGCAGTTTTCAACTGGTAGGCACCTTTCAAACATGCACATCGAGCACAGTCAGACCGGGGATATCAATAACCAAACATCTAAAATGGAAGAAAATAAACTAGTAGACACGCGTACCTAACAATTACAGCGATGATGCAGCACGCGTGCCACATCTACAGCATTAGTGACCTAGGTTAGTTGATGGAATCGGAAACAGCGTACATACCTATTCAACATACTAGTCGCCTCTCTGATATTGCTCCTCGTGACCACGTCGATCGCTAAGCAGACTGGTTTGGCTGAGGCACATATGACCGCATATGCTACAGCTCCAAGCGCCTGACATCGATGAGCTAGGCCTCATTGGCGTCTGTCGGTTCTGTGACCAGCGCTTTTCTTTCTAATGCAACAATCCTTACCGGTGCACATGGAAAATGGCAATCTTGATGAGGTCACGCCATTGGTATCGATTCACTGACAATGGTTCACAATACCCTAAGTTATAGATAAACCCACCTTGATTATGCACTGGTATCGTAAATTTTCCATACTAAGTTGGCTATATAGCAAGCGTTTCGGAATTCTAGTCGAACCCATAAGGTGGACATCTCCGAGACACCTATTACGTACCCGCTACTCCGACGAAACACCTCCGTGTCAAGAACTGTCAAAGAATCGAATGCGTAGATTCCGACGTAGACATATTTGGTGAAATTATCACAGAAAGTGGATGTCCCTCTTGTACAGCGTCTATGTATCGATGCAGTAACGGAGCCGACAGCATCAGTGATTTAAATAACGTAGGATTGCTCTAAAAATTGGCTGGTGGTCCCTCCACGCCCGGTATTCCAGCTTACCGAAGGCCGCACTCGCTTTCGATAAGCAGGTGGGCAGCTCACTGGTTATCAGCAGGAGTGTTAACAACATGCTTCAGAGATAGACCATTTTGATGAGTTTCTCAAGGTTTCATCAGCAATTCTGATCAGTTAGCAGCTCACAGATTCTATTACTGGGGAACCAGATAATGATAAACAGTCGTGCTTATGTTGAAGATGAGGGCCGACGTGCAACGACAGCAGTCGTCATACGTCGAAGCCCATCATCCCTGTGTGCATGTAACGCGCAGACATCGGCAAGCAACAACATCCAGATTGTTGTCTCATACACTCAGGTTAGTGCCTGAAAACAGTGGATGATAAGAAACCCATCTTCAGTAAGAAGGCAGAGAGGTAAACCGTAATCAAAGCACTGAAAGCAGTACACATCATGCCAATTAGGTAAAAAGTAAACAGTGTAGAGGCTAAAACACAGCCTTGCTTCACACCAGAGACAACTGCAAAGTCATCCGAGGATCGTCCACAAGGCTGCACCCTGGACCGTATGCCACTGTGCAGACATTCAATTAAACTTACGAACTTATTCGGACAACCAAACTTACCCAACACCAACCACAGTGCCTCGCCATTCACCGTGTCAAATGACTAGGTGAAAGCTACAAACAGCGAGTATAATGGCTGATGTCGCTCTCAGCATCTATCCTGCAACTGAAGTACCGCAAACACCATGTCAATGGTGCTGCAACTCGAACGGAATCCATCTTGCTCTTCCATCACGATTGGTTCGACAACCTTAGTGACGAGGCGGTTGAGCAGGATTCGGGCAAACGCCTTGACCATACAACTCAACAAGTTGATACCACGATAATTCGTGACACATTGCTTGCTCCCATTCCTTTGTTCAGTGGCAGCACACCAAGTGGTGCAACGCACGTATCAACGCGGGTCCGCCGTGTTTCCGCATTTCTGGGGGCATCCCGTAGGCTCCGGCACGGTTGCCGTTTCGCAGCTGAGCAAGTGCTTTCTGCGTCTCATCCAGTGTCGGCGTGTCCGCCAAACTCACCTTCACCTCGTGCTGCTTCAGGCCGTTCAAGGCAGGCCGGTTATTCAAGAGACAATCAAAGTGATTTCGCCAGATCTGCATTATGTCCGCAGTCTGTGTGTAGGCGGCACCCGAGTTACCCTCTATCAGCTTCTTCAGCGCCTGCAAGGTGGATTCATACACCACCTTCAAGGATTCAAAGAATTCCTTAGATTAACGGCGTTCGGCGTAGCATTCTATCTGCTTCGCGTTCTCCGTCTACTATGCATTTTTGATGCGACGGAGCTCTCGATCAGTCGCCGTCGAAGTTTGCGAAATTGATTTTCCTTCTCGGAGTCGGCAGGGTCCACGACATGTGCAGCGAATGCTGCATTTCCCCCCACACCAATGCGCCAGTGCAGTCATCAAAACAATCCGATAGGTTAACCCGGGATTGGGAAGGTTGAATGTGTAGGGTGAAGGGGAAGAAGAAAACGAGATGCTAGCGGTGCATGTTTTTGCTTATCTACAACTATGCGATAAATAAGGCAGCACTTTCGCCCCTACTGCGTGATGTTCGATGTAGCATGTTATTCGTAGTCGCGTGGTTTATGGCTTAATTAATATACTGTCTAGGTACCCGCATATAAACAAGAGGACGACTCGGGTCCTCTGCCAATAACCTCGATAAAGTAGACTGCAAGCCAGCTGAAAATGCGCCATAAGTCAATCGACCAAGCTGAAAGAGTGATTTATCCATAAGTCGATTTAGCGGCCGCAACAGGGAAATGTCAATAACGTAGGTAGAAAGCAGAGCCAAAGCAGCTGGTCACTGATTTGTCAGAATCTCGCCCCTATAAGCCCCAAGGAGTGACCACCGTATATATTCAGAGCGACATTCGTGAAGTGCGCCTGATACGGGTACTGTGTAGAGCTGACTAGGGCACATATATTTTAGCAAATTCATGTACCGTTTCCCTCTCATGAATCATCAGTGCACATTTAATGTTCGTTCCTTAGATATTTTTGAGAAGAGGACAGAACTTGAGAATTCGATGGCTACCGACGTTGGCGATGTCCACTTCATCGTTTGAGTCCACAACCTGTGGCACCACATCCGTGACCAGGCGACTGCTGCTGCTGCTGAAGAAGAAGAAGACGAAGAAACGGTCGGGCGCGCAAATTTTAAGCGGCCCGGTTGGCTTGACGAGAACAATGCGACCACTGGTGCATTAGTGTTGGAGAAGAATGCAACCTTTACTGTGCATAAGGAGTATCTGACGACCCAGAAAAGAAAGGCAAGTTTCGTAAATTCCGTCAATGAGACTCGGGAGCTCCGTCGCATCAAAAATGCATGGTAGACGGAGAAGGCGAAGCAGATAGAATGCTACGCCGAACGCCGTTAACATAAGGAATGCTTTGACTCCTTGAAGGTGGTGTATGAAGTCACCTTGCAGGCGCTGAAGAAGCTGATAGAGGGTAACTCGGGTGCCGCCGGCACACAGACATAATGCAGATCAGGCGAAACCACTTTGATTGTCTCTTGAACAACCGTTCAGGGATTGACTGGCCTATCTTGAACGGCCTGAAGCAGCACGAAGTGAAGGTGAGTTTGACGGACACGCCGACACTGGATGAGACGCAGAGAGCACTTGCTCAGCTGCGAAACGGCAAGCGTGCCGGTGCCGACAGGATCCCGTCTGAAGTATTGAAATACGGCGCGTTGGTGAATGCGTTGCACTAATTGGTGCAACGCGTGTGGATTGTGGAGGAGGTGACTCCTGAGTTAAGGGATTCGTTTGTACTCCCACTGTACAAGTGCAAACGAAGCGATCAATGTCCCACGAATTATCGTGGTATCAACTTGTTGAGCTGTGTGGTCAAGGTGTTTGCCCGAATCCTGCTCAATCGCCTCGTCAGTCAGGTTGTGGAACCTAAAGTGGCGGAAGAGCAAGGTGGATTCTGTTTGGGTCGCAACACCATAGACATGGTGTTTGCGGTACGTAAGTTGCAAGATAGATGTCGAGAGCGATACCAGCCATTGTACTCGCTGGTCGTTGATTTCACCAAGTCATTTGACATGGTGAATGGCGAGGCACTGTGGTTGGTGTTGGGTAAGTTTGGTTGTCCGAATATGCGGTCGAGGGTGCAGCTCTACGGACAATCCTCGAATGACTTTGCCATTGTCTCTGGTGTGAAGCAAGGGTGTGTTTTAGCCCCTGCCCCGTTTACTATTTACTTTCATTCAATGATGCCTTGTGCTTTTGGTACTGCTTCTGCTTACGGTGTCATTGTGGAACACTGTATCTATGGTG